TGTTATATCTATAACTTATCCCCTCTCGGATACTCAATCGAGGAGTATCTCCAATTCATCGAGGGCAGTTATTAACAACGACCGTTCATTAATAACCCTTACTATCAATCAAATATAGAACAACGCCGTATACCGAGATAATAGTAGCATTTAATCTCTTTAACTCCTTGATGAAATCAATTGAGATTGATAACCTTAACACAACGATTTCGGTTTAACCAACAAAATTTATCCCTCTTAAGTTTATTAACCACGACCATACATTAATAAACCGAAGTTACTTACTTGTGAAACCATCAACGATTAACCATCGGTTCATTGATCGTTTCTAGTAATAATTAATGTTGGAACGTTAACTAATCGTCACTTAGCAACCCTCCAACATTAATATAGAATGAGATTAAGGGAAGAATTAATAATCAAGAGGAGAAAGTAAGAAAATAACTCACAACTTTAATAATCAACAAGCTTCAAGAGCAAAACCAAGAAATGGAAGTTTAGCTCCTCATTTGGAGACTAAACATGCTATAAAAATATAAAAGAAATACTATTCTAAGTTGAGCTTAAGAGTATGGAAGAAGGAGTTGGTTAAAAGTGAAGGAAAATTGGGCTATTTATAGGTGTTTCCAACACCTATGGCCGGATACCCGGCCGGGTTTTTTAGATACCCGACCGGGTATTTGTCAAAATCAAATATTTTGCCCACGATTTTGTGTTTTCTGCACGTTTTTTTGTCCGGGTCACTTCATACCCGACCGGGTAAGTCACCAAATCACATTTTTTTCTTGTTCCCTTGCACTTTCCTTTGATCTTGTAAGATCCCTTCCATGATCCTTTGTTGATTCTTGATCAAGATGATTCTAAATTTACTAAATTACAACAAACTAGAAAAATAAAATGATTGCATCGTAAATGTGCAATTACCACAACAACACACCGTAAAAAGTAATTAAAAGTAAAAATATAAACAAATGCAATCAATCTCATATGATAGCAAGTGAGTCAATCTCCGCAATGTGCTGATCCTCATCCATATCTAAAAACACTCGAGCTAACTATCTCATTCTCCAAATGAGGTACAGCTTTAACTACCTTTATGAAAGGCACTCCCCTGACTGCCTTGTGCCGCCATAGTAACCTACAAGGCACAAAAGATATGAATAGCAAGCCTCATTCACACAATCTCATACAAATAATAATGACTGTGTCTAAACGCAATAGAAATATTGATGTTGCCCAAATGTTGCCTTATTGGTGTTGCAGTAATTTTATTGGGCTTCTCAACTATATTCTAGCTACTACGTATTTCATTTCAGCCGAGTAACACTTCACTTAATTTTTGGGCTCTTCTTCTATTTGTTTGTTTTATTTTGGCCTAATACCAAAAATAATCCTTCACTTGCTGTAAAATGGGGGAAAAATAGGATTCTAACTTCAATATTGTTAAAGGAGAAGCCAATGATAAAAATAGGGTGTTTTTCAAAAATACACAAACAGTGATTGATTTTGACATATGTATCCTTTGTGTTTTACTTTGATTTTTGTTATTAGAAAATGAGTTTATCTTGTCATGTGATACTGTCGTTGCCTCTAGACACCAGTTAGTGGCATAGCGAAGAGGATATATCAGGCTGGATCATGCAATGAAGTGCTAGGATACAGGGACGGAGGTACCAATAGGGTTAGGGGGGCCATTGCCCCCCCCCCCCAACTTTTTTTTTTAAATACTACTCCGTATTAGAGTATTAGTATTAGTCTATTATATCAGTAGTTCATAAACTGCCTATACGTTAGTTTTTTAATTACTTTCTTTTTGAAATTGTGGAAGGTCTTCAAGATTTTTTTCATTTCTAATTTTTTAGTACTTAGTGATTTAACTATATATGGGTAGCTAGTTACGGATCGGATCGGAGTATATGTTACGTAGTGCTATACAAGCAATATAGACCTTACTATAATGGTGACAACTCCGGTACCTTTCTAAAATATGGGGTACCGTACCTACCATTCATTTGATTGGACCACATCACTTTATCATTTTTAATTTAGATTTAAATTATTCAACTGCTACATTCTCAATGGTCCATGTAGACAAAGGTATGGTACCTTATGGGTACCATAGAATCTACCTACTATAATATTATATTAAATAAAAGTGACATATAGTATTATACTAGTATGATTTTAAGTGTATTACTTCAGTCATTTTTAACTAGATTTAAAAAAATCGTGCATGTATTAGGCTTTGATTCGAGCTGAAGTTGTAATAGGGAAAACATAATGTGGTTCAACAAATAGGGGTGGACTGAACCGGGCCGGTTCGGGCCTCAGGCCTGGGCCCGGCCAGGCCTCGGTTCAGAATATTGAGGCCCGAGACCGAACCGGGGGTGGCCGGTTCCGGGCCAGACTGGGCCGGTTCCGGGCCGGGCCACCCGCCCTATTTTTTTTTGGGCTTCTTTATTTAATCCCCTACCCCTCTTTCTCAACCCCAAACCACCCCAAACCACCTCAAATGGACCAAAATATCTAATCTAACCCAAAACATAAAAAATTTTCAAAAAAAAAAAAAATATTTCAGGCCCGGACCGGGCCCGAACTGGCCGGGCCGGTTCACCATATGGAAGGCCCGGGCCCGGAACCGGGAACCACCGGGCCGGTTCGACCCGAACCGCCGGTGGACCGGGCCACCGGGCCGGGCCGGTTGCTACAGTGTCCGGGCCGGTTCCGGGTCGGGCCGCCCGGCCCGAGTCCAGGCCTATCAACAAATTTGTGAGATACTACATATTTCTTTGGACTGAATCTAATAAATTGATCAACTTTGAGATAAGATAAAATTTATCTTTAATGACTATTTGGATAATTGTATTGGGAGCAATATACTCCGTATCTAATATTTGCAAACAATACTAAAAAATACATATCACATATACTTAATTTGCTTTTAATTGTGTGATACGAAATGAAACACACAAGTATCATTTTCTGTCATTTATTTTCCTTTCATATTCATTACCCAACATATCATAATAGAATAATTTTAATTTGAAAAAATGAGCATCTCACTCTAATTAATCTTAAATATTGATATATAGAGTTTTTTCGATACCGTTCTACAAAATCTCGAAGTATTCAAATAAGTCAATTATTTGATATCGTCATAGCCAGAAATTTCCGGAGTACAATTTTTTTTTGCGCTCAAGCTCGCCCCCTTGTCATCAAGTCCTGGCTCCGCCCCTGCTAGGATATGTGTCAACATTTAATGGATATTCAAGACTCATACTCCAGGACCAGTGTGCGTTATTTAGAAAACCTCATCCCTAAAATTAGGACAATTATGTTATCTCTGTAAAGAGAGGGGTTCTTTCATACTCCCTCCGTCCCTAATAAAACTTCCAAAACGGCTGGGCACACAGTTTAAGATATTGAGTATTGTGTGGTGGAGAGTTGTGCAGAGGAGAGAGAAATGTGTAAGAATTGATGTGAACCACAAATTCTTTGCCAAAAAAGGGAAAATGGAAGTTTTAATTGGGACGGACGAAAAAGGAAAGTTGGAAGTTTATTTAGGGACGGAGTGAGTAGAAGGAAGAATGGTTGGGGTGACATCAGGGCTGGTCCCGAAAGAATAGAGACCTTGTGCAACCAAAAAAGGGGTCTTTCTTTTCAACACAAAGGAAAATAGAAGATAAATAATACGAGTAATGGTATTAATGGTAATAGTAATGAATTACAGTAAATTTATGTTAAAACTCGAGTTAATATTGAACATAATAGCAAGAAAAAATGTATTTAAAATTAATGGTACATATATCTCTTAGAAATTAAAATAATTTGAGTTTTAAATGTTAATGGAGGGGCATTTTAAAATTATTTAAAAGGAGCATTTTTGTCTTTTCATAAGGGGCTGGGGTGCAAAAATAAAGAATTTTAAAAACGGGGTGCAAAGTCCAATTTCGACAATAAAATGGGGTGTATTCTCAAATTACCCCAATAGTTTATCATTGGAGCATTACTTTTCGCTTTGCTTGAGAAAGCTAATTAGCCAAAATGAGCTACTGGCAATGACTAAGGCAATGACTAAATATAACACTATTCATAGTAAATGAAGAGGAAGATGTTATACCTAATTAGTGGAGTACATTTTAATTTTGCTGCAAATGTCGATGTGCCTAATCAAGCTATGAGGGTAATTAGCTAACCGTTGGAGATGCTCTAATAGACACAAATGTTCCTATCTCCCCATTTAAAAGTAAATGATATTAGGAATTTTATCAATTTAAGACTCGAAAGAAAGATGAATTATCAATCCGGAACTCGAACGATAAAATGTATCGTTTAACTGAATGATGGAAAACTATCAATCTAGGACCTAACATTTCATATTGTCAATTATACTTCATATTTCAAATAAATATACACTTAATTTTTTTTGGATGATAATATACACTTAATTTTTAATGTCCAGCACTTGTTGAATAAATTAGGAATTAAAGAAAAACTAAAACTCGGCCCAGGATCATACTGAGGCCTATCCGGGTACCTGGACGGAACCAGTACCGGAGCATACCAAGTTGGTACCAAGCTTCACCTTTTCAGAACCGGTATTGGCCGGGCCTGGGGACCGACTTGGCCCCGACCCAAGTCCAACCCTAAGGGTATAGAACACTGGTAAAGGTGTTGACCTGGACAAATGCAGAATGAGGTTGCACTACAAGGCAAAAAACAAATACTACCACTAGTATAAATAAAGAAAAAGAAAGGGGTAAAGACCTGTTGGAAAAGATAATTAAAAAATATGGAGTTAAAAATTAAAAAACCATTAAAAAAATTATATGGACAATACACATAGGCGGTTAACCAGTTAAACCGCTCAATTAAGCATTTTATTATAAAAGTTTGATGGCTCAATTAATTGATTTTAAGTTACAAGGGCTTGATTGACATTTTTGGCATAATAAGAACCTATTTGGCACAACCTCAATCCTATTTTAGCCAAGATCATTTCCGACTACTCATTCGAAATCTCGAATTACCATTTCACTACTCATATTATACAGTCTGCAGTGGTGAAATATCACCTTCTTTCTTGTTCTCTTTTTTGGTATTTTAACCTGAATTTGTGAGAACCACAACTAATTAAATGAAACAATGCATCAAATAACTAACAACAGCAACAACAAAACTTTCAAATAACAAGTTTCACAACAAGAACGAACAAATAATTTGAACTCACACAAAAAAAGGGACTACCACATTTGAAAACTTCCTACTATGACCATCATGTTCATTACTTTCAGCAATTTGCTTCAAACTAGTCCAAGATTTTCTCTTTCTCTTGCTACCACATGCGTCAATAGTGGTTTTATGACTACCATCCGTAGTTGTAGCAGTAGTGGTCATGGTGGTTGAAGCGCATTCAGATCCAACAGGCTTCTTCTTTAATCCCCCTGACCAGTTCCTTCTCTTTCTCTTCGAGTCCAATAAAGTGATGTCCACTCTCATCGATGAAGGGGTCGAAGGATCACCTGCTGTTTCAACAGACCCGCCTAGCATAATCTCATTATTGCCATCACTTGAAGTGACAGTCTTTGATTCAGATGACTTTTTATGTGTTAACGGCTTGGGCTTTTGTGGGCATATTTCTTTCATATGGCCTTTTGGGGTTCCTCTCTTTAGGTTCCGGTGTGAACAAAAATGGCAAGTGTACACCACATGATTCTGTGGGCTGCATCTGGATTTCTTGCTCCTGTGACGAGCCTTTGGGTTGCTCTTCTCAACTCGAATAGTACAATTGTAGCCTGGTTGAAGAACAGATTCGCATCTGCGGAAGATCATTATAATTTTTTTCAGCAGTTTGCTCATTATAAATAATAGAGGATTTTCAGTGTTTAAAGGTACCAAATGACGAAATGTTAAAGTGATGATAAATTGAATATATGAACCGAGCAGAAAAGGGATGCAGAAACATATTAGCAATGACACAAGGGATTTTAAACCAGATGAACACTATGCCTTATCTGCCTACCACCTATTTCTTTTTAGAAGTTAGAACTGAATCACTGATCTTCATTCCTCAAATCTATAACAATCACTACTTTAGAGCCTGTATGGATACCTTATGGTTTAAGTGCATTGAAATAAAGTTATTTCTTAGTTAACCACTAAAGTATTTTTTAATAAGCACTTCATAAGGCATCTCAAACACGCTCTTACTCTTCTTTGGTTGATCTTTAGTGATGCAGTCAAGCAAAAAAAAATGACGCAATGTAAGTATCACTCTGCCAGTATCGTTCTGAGCTGAAAATAGAAGAATTACATGTGGTGAATCGGAACCATGTACAGATCTAGAATAAATAACTAGAATAATGTAACAAATGCAATCGTCTGTTAAATTTTTTCCCCAATCACTATAAGGTTGTGAAATTTTTTTCTACCATCCAACATTGAATTAGTTGTTGTTATTGTTTGTTGTTGTATCCAACATTGAATTATTCACCTTTTGTCAAAAGTAAAGGTGGCTTATGTTTATTCACCATTCAAATATACATCACTACACCACATCTAAAAAATAGATGCAGTATGAAATGTATCTTTAGTAATATCATTAAAGATTTCTATATACATATCACTACACCACATCTAAAGAATGGATGCAGTATGAAATGTATCTTTAGTAAAATCACTAAAGATTTCAATATACATACTACCTCCGTCCCAAATTGATTTGCAAATTTGACTTTTCTTGGTCAAACAGTTTCATTTTATTCGCTTAATTAGGATATCAATTTTTAATTATATTCTAATTTGAAGTTTACAACTTTGAAGAGATTTTAATGTAGTTTCTGAATATATAAATTTTAATTATAAAAAATTAAATTAATTATCGATACGGAGCATTGACTTTTATTATTAGTTGACCAAAAAATGTTGACTTTGCAAAACAATTTGGAACGGAGGGAGTATTACATATCACTACACCACATCTATACATAAGTATGAAATGTATAGTGAAATCACTCAGTGTTTTCTGATCAGCGTGATACTAACTACAAGGAAAAGGTTATGTTCTCAAACAGGAATGGAAGTAATGATGTGAATTCACAAAACCTTATTTGAACCAAAAAATCTCACCAAACATGAATTTTGAAAATGTAGGGTAGTTAAGTGTAGATAAAAATGAAAAAGAATAAGAGAAAGTAGATACAAAGGTAGAATAAAAGGCAGCCTGGTGCACAAAAGCATCCCCGCAAGGCAAGGATATATATGTATGGGGAAAGGTCCTACCACAAAGGTGTACAAGGGGTAAGGATGTTTTTACTTGGACTGTAATTTGTCCCAGACCAGACCAGACCAGTCCAGACCAGTTCAGACCAGACCAAACCAGACTTGGATAGTTATAAAAATACAAAGAAACCAAACCTTACCAGACCAGACCAGACCAGCAAATTACAGTCCAAGTAAAAACATCCTAAGCCTTGCCCTTTGCTAAAACGGTGAGGATATTCATGTCTTTTGATACTACAGTAGTTGCCAAAAACTAAAAATGACGTATGAATAAGCTTCCTTAAATGGATTATAAAGAAAATAAAATCAGTTAAAGTAATTACAGATATTAAAAAAAAAGTTCATGCATGAAATTTATTAAGAATAAATGGAGAAAGCAAAGCAAAACCTTTGACAAGGGACAAAAGACGGGTCAGGAGGCAATCCCAAGGCCTCGGAGGAAGCAGCTAAACTCATGCCAAAAAAGCAGCCTAAAGAAGGTATGGATGTCTCACCACTGGCCCAAACCGCAAGATTCTTAATATGCTCCAGTTTCAACATCGACTTGGCATTAACATGGTTCTGTTTCCTCCCATTTGGATCATGTTTAATTGTGTTTGATCCTTTCTTTCCCATCTTTTATGGTGGCTGCAATGCCTTTGACCAGAATTTACCCCACAAAAATCAGTAAAATGGTGAATTTTCAGCTTTATAACCCCTCAACTAAGGTTTTACTGCTTTAGTTCACAACAACAATCTAGGGAGCCATTTAGGGATATTCCAGTGGTCATAATTCAGAATTCACAAGTCAGAACACACAAGGAAAGTGTATATTATAAATTGGAAAGGACCAGACAGTGAGTGAGAAGGCAGGGGCGGAGGGCGTAGCACAGGGCGGGCGAGGGGCACAGCCTCACAGGCGCACGGAGCGGTAGGGTACTGCGGTCCGCGAAGCGAAATAAAAAATTGTAGGGCGATTCAGCCGACTGCGATATTCCCGGCGAAGTGGAGAACGACGACCGGCGTGATTTACGGCTTTCAGGCCTCCGCTTGGGCCGTGTTTTTTCGCTTAGGGCTCTGGCCGATGGCTCTGTGTTGTGGTTTCAAATGGGTGTTCACATAGGTCGTATACGGATTTCAGTGTTTTATACTTTTATTATACCGTTGGTTGGCCCGTCATCTGGTTTCTTTTGGCTCGAATTGTTTTGGGAGTGAGGCGATTTGGGACGATTGGAGGAGTGTTTGAGGCGGAATGAAAACATTTTTTACAAGGTTAAGATTGTATAGTTAATCGTTTTGATTAAAATCAATTTTAATAATAGGACTGTATTTAGTAAAAAAATGGGCTGCATTTAGAATTATCCGAAAAGCGTACAGATTGGTACAACCGTATTGAATTGTCTCGGCTCAATACTACGTGTTCATACTATACTTTCTCTCTTTGATCTTCGACTTATTTCCTTCCATTTTATAACAAGAGGGAGTATTAATTTTCTTTTTTTTTTTTTGGTTCAAAAATTTTCTTTTTCGAATTTGGGTCTGACTCTCACTATTCCAAGACCCGCTCCTGACAATTGGGGTTCGCATATGAGCAGAATTGCGAGTTTATGGAGAGGGCTGAATTCCAAAATGCATCATTTGAAGACAAGGAACGGAGCTAGGACACTGGACCGAACTGGATCGATGCAAAGAATATTTTTGTAAAAAAGTTTATACGAAATTTTTTACATTAAAAATATACACATTTTTTAAATTTGGATTGGGTCAGAACTCGGGACCAGGGTTGGCCACCCCCTAGCTCTATGCCCCTGTGAACACCCAACCAAGATGAGTCCACTCCCCCTTGCGCTATATAACCTCATGCATTGAAGTCTTAAAAAAAAAAAGACGTAATTTAAGACGTAACTATTTCGTGTATTTTGTCATAAGACAGGTAACTACTCTTAGGATTGAAGATTGTTTGACTTGCTTATTTAATGTTGTAGCGTAATTTAAAATATTACTAAAAATATAAATATATGATAGCAGAATTTTTTTGCATATATTTATAAAACATTACGACAACTTTGCGTGCAACTTAAAAATAATTACACATCTTGTCAAACAATATAACCTATTTTATATACAAAATGATTGATTCCCTAAATTTTGCATACAATTATTCCTCGTGCAAAAATTTAATGTTTACAATACTGAATGAGCCCTTAAACATGGGTTATGAGCCGTGTTTGGCTGGAGGTAAACATGGGTTCTTAAAATAGTAAAGTCAAATGAAATATCCTATTTCTTGTACGAATCAAATCAGTTATATGATATTGAATTGTAAAATCGCACGATTCGACTTTATGATTTCACTCACCATTTTAACAACCTTGTTGATAGGTGGAAACAAAACCAAACAAATAATACATGGAGTATCAGCCATTAGTCTTTTCACTCACCAAATTGATCGTTCACAAGTTCACATCATCCTACATTCTTACATGGGGAAGAAAACAGAAAAAAACACAGCTTATTGAGATTTAGGGTTTGCAGATTGGAACAACTCTTTTGCCCTCCTGCCATAGTACACCTTCGACTAATATTCTAGCCAAAGGTGGACCCACCAACTATATACATCCCGTTAACACATGGCATTACAGCGCACTGTTTCAGGGATAGACTTCCTAATGAGGAGGGCCCCCATACCTTCACAAGGCTTCATTATTAACGTTGGCCTTTCTGAGGGAGCCAGAAGTTTCTCTGCAGTTCTCATATTTGAGTTTGCAATGCCACTCAGATTCAAACCTTCAGCATTGCTCTCAGATTTAGTTGGACAAAAAACAACAAACAAAACTACAACCACGGGACCTTAATCCAAAACATAACTTTAAAAGTACACACAATAACATCAACCGGGCATGAATCCCGAACACAAATTAAGTTCTATTTTTCATAATGCTCACTTCATATTTAGTGGAACTCTCACAATGGTTGTATATCTTTTATCTCAAATGACTGTTAACCCAAATGCCTGCTCATTTCCAGTGCAGTTTCCCAGGCAAGGTGCGCTCTAATGTCTTCAAGCTGATAACGATTTCTAATTGGACAATGGTTTCCCTGCATCACAACAATAATAAAATTTAGGAAAGATAATTATTGTAGTGAAGGAAATACTGAAAGTGATGGAAGGATTTATTTTCTTAACCATGCATTCTCTTTAAAAACCGCTCAAACTCAAGGAAATTGTCATTCTCCATGAGAACATGACTTAGCCTGAGGTATGTGAAAGCTGATAAGTGTCTTCCGTCTGGATCATTCCATGGCTTTGCATTTTCCAGAATCTTGTTGTAGCCTTCTCTATCATAAGAAGGAAGTGCATTCTCACTCGCAACTGGTATGTTTACATCCCATGCACTATTTAACACCTGAAAAATACTCCACAAGTTATAACACCTATAACTTTAGTTCTTGATAGTGTAGGCGATCGTATGTCTTATCATAGAAGATTCGGAGGTGTTTAGCTTTAGTTGTTCATAGGTGTTTAATTGTTTTTGTCTCTTATGTGTTTCAAAGCATTTCTGCAAGATTCTAATCTAGTTTAGTCAAGTTGGTTGATAAATGAAAGTTGTCTTTTACCCCTCCCACTAATAAAAGAGATTGCAACTTGAATATAATTTGAAGAGAAGAAATTATTAGCACAAATAGATAAAATATCTCAACCAAAGTATATGAGAAACAAACGAAAATAAAAAATTTCAGATTAGTGCGCTTTCAAAAAGTTACCTGCCAAACTAACCCCTCAGGATCAGCTAATGCTTCAGGAAAGTCTTCATTCTGGTTTATTGTGCGCAACTCAACACACGTAAAATTTAAAGCAGTATCATGCTTCTTTAACATTGATGCGATAGGAGCATACCCATCACGATTGCACGAGTTGTAAAACCCAGCAGTCAACTCAGCGGAATGGCTAGCTGTTTTGTACCACCAATGAATACCTGAAAGCTGCTCACAAATCACATGATTAACCCTAACTAGTTTGTCAAATCACAACTAAAAGTCTGGCAGAAATCTAAGATATAATCTTCAAGGTACAAAGTTTACCTTAGCAGCAATAGAAGTGTCCTCGAAGGCCAAATTTGCCAGGGAAAGTACACGATCAGCATGGTCAATCAAAACTTGACTGTACCATTTTAGAAAGAATCTGCCGTAGTAACTATCATATTCACCTCCATCACGAAAGAACCCAGTTTCATGTGGGGTGGAGTTGTATGAACCTGCATTATCAGGACCCTTACCCCAAAACGAGTGACCCCTGACATCTGCAGCTCTTTTCAAGCTCTTCATCAGGTACTTATCATAGCACTGTATGTGACAGAAACAATTACCCCCTTCGTCCAAAAAAATCCCGCTTCAAGAGCTTTTGTCCCAAACAAGTCCGGTTTCAAAAGTCAACTTTCACTTTCATGTAAAGTTCTTGTAAAGTCAACCAGTTTTAGTCAATTACTACTCTGAAGAACCAAGTTTTCAAGTTGGGAGGATTTGTTTGAGCCAATATTATCAGGCCCATTGCTCCAAAATGAGTGACCCTAACATCCGCAACTCTTTACGGGTTCTTTATCGGGTATTTATCATGGCACAGTATGTGATAGAAAAACTACTCCTTTTCTGTTCCAAAAGAATCCTGTAGCAATAATTTTTTTTGTAGCAAAAAATGTTTTAAGAGCCAACTTTATTTTCAAGTAAAATTCTTACAAAGACAAGCGATTTTACTCAACTAATCCAAACAATCTTCGAAATAAGTTTTAGTGGTATAAGCGACCATTCATGACTTTTAAATGCTTGAACATTTGTGTTGCCTAAAAAAATAAAGTTGTACCCTACTAAAAATCGGGAGACTTTTGTGTAGCGGGAGGAGTACAAAACAATAATGTCTTAAGCGGTTAAGCCTAACAATATAACATATAAAGAGGTTGAACAATTTGTGATAGAACACAGAGATTGCTAACCTGAAATTCACCAATACCAGGATATCTCCAACCGTGTTTGGCTGGATAAGAAGGATATCTCAACTCCCCACATGGCCCCAGGCCAATTTCAATTTCAGAGATAACTCCATCCTCAAAGAACTCATCCAACTCTATCCGAAAACTTCTCATGTAATCAAAGTAAACCTACATCATTTGTGAGCAAATTATTTTAAAAAATACAAGCGCAGAAATTGCTAATATATATCAGGTATGATGCCGACTACAAATTGATAGTTACGGAGTATTATTTAGCAGATAGTTAGAAGAACAGTTACACATCAGACTGTATACAAGTCAAGTTTTTTATCAGCTACATTTTTAGTTTGTTTCTCTGCTCGACCATTATCATATAAGTAAATTTAACCGCTGTGCTATTAATAAAATCCAACACAACTGATATTCAAAAAACTATAGATCAATTAGAACTTAGAAGGCGATCAAATAAAATCAGATAAGAAAGCTGAATCAAAATAAATTTAACTCTTAGGTTTTCTTTATCTAGTTTGAAATAAATTGGATAGGATTGAGCGATTGACATTGGGAACTAATTTAAACCAACGTCATAATTGCAGTTCCCAACTCCAAAGTCCAAACTGTAAATATTACTCCGTAGAACAATTGCAGCAATATAAATCTTTTTTTAAACATCGATTTGCTCTACTGCATAGTAGTTCTCTCTAGCGTGCTGCGTCCAAAAATAAGCTTAGAACTTAACATTTAAAAAAAGACAATTTAGTACCTCCACAGCAGTTCGGCCTCTTAAAACGCGCTCCTTGTCAATTCCCCAAGTGAGGCATTCATGATTTCTTCTTCCCTCACTATCTGTGAAAAAAATGTCCGGATTTTTCTGGCCTATCTCTGCGACCCACTCTGGAAGGGGAATATGTACATCGTCGCCTACATTTCCACCACATTCATGAAACGACATAACCACCTACATAAATACCTCCATGATAATGTATTAAATATAGATGGGGCCAAATAACATACATAAGAACATGAAAAACTAATGCAACAAAGATTAAAATAAGCTTACAGTTACATGAAAGTAAAGAGTCGTGCTAAGAATTTTACTTCTCATAGGTACTAGTGACTTGCCTGTAGTTTAAGCTTTAAGTCGCGCACAATTTGAAAAAGTCTCCTGTAGCCATTCCAATTATATAGT